GTTTCTAGAAGGTTATTACATAAAATATATTATGAATTCATTTTCTTAAAACTCTTATTTCATTTCTTTGCCAATTACCAAATCTTTTAGTAATTTTTCATTGCATAGTAAATAGCATTCAGACAGTATGCCTGGTGTTAAAGCCTTCCTTTATTTTACCCCAATTTACTTTTATAACATTTGCCTCCATGATTTCAATTTATCCCAGTCTTTATCTAAACCAGAGTTGTCCTGGTTCTCCATACATGTTCTGAATTGTTCCACCTCTTGTCCTTTTCCCCTGGTTTCCAGCACCTACAATATTTCCTGAACCAATCTCTGCCTGTCTGAACCCATCTATCATTTTAAAGACCGTGTTAAACTCTTCAATGAATCCTGTCCTCAATTTCCTATTACAAAGAAATTTCAGAGGAGACTCAAATTATTTGGCATATATCCATGCCTTTTTCTATACTTTTCTAAAGATTTTAATCAATTGTATTGAATGTTTTTAGTCATTAATTATAAAACATGTATTTATTAAACACCCGAAAAGTAAGGTGTTAATGACATATCTGGAGTACATGTTTGGTAAAAGGAGTGAGAGAGTGCATTTTCTGGGGAGAATTAAAAATTATTAGAAAATCAACTAGATGTTATTTTGCTTTATATCATCACCATGTGTTTGCAATTCTAAACAGTTTCAGTGCCAAAATAGTACTGCCAAAAAAGTATTTTGTTTGTCTAAATTCTAAACAATTGCTGTGGTTACTATTGTGTTTCTGTTATGTATATGTACACATATATGTACAGTCAGCCTCCAACACACATGAACTTAGCTACATATATGTTACAAGAGTAAGTGCACAATGATTTGGAATCATTTAAAATTTAAAACAGTGAGACATAGTGCAAACTGTGAGGTGTGATATTTTGTTAAGTCTTATTTTTAGTTCATACATGAAATATTTTATTACATTTGAATGTTTTTAAATTTCAAAATTATTCTTTTTAAGTTCTTTGTTATAAATCTAAAGAACAACTCAAGAAAAATAATAATTACTTACTCACACAGAGCTATTACTGAAAATAATTCTCTTGTTTAGGAGAGAGAGATATAGAACATGATTAACTCTGGGTGTGGCGGCACATCCTTTATGTTAGTACCAAGGCTGTAGAGATAACTGTGGTCTCAGGGACCTTCCTTGCCCTCTCAGCTCTCCCCCAAATCTAAGAAGCTTCTGAGATTTGCTCTTTTACTATCATTATATCATGTTAAAAGTTGGGTTTCCATGTTACCCATGTTAATACCAAAAGGGATCACTCTCTCTGCTTCTCCCTCCACTTCCCTCTTTCTTCAAGAATAGCAACTATTTATAAGACTTCTAATTCTCCTGTTTGAAGTAGTCATTTAGATGCTTTTCTCTAATTTAATTTTCAGAAATAAAAGAAACACCCGGAAGACTGTTTCTAAATATTTAGACTATAAACTTGACAGGGAACTTTTTGTTAACTTTACAGAACATAGACTGCATGAAGTATAAAATTATTTATAGAATTTATATTTAAAGGTAAATACATTAATGGAAATAGTGGCTCCAAAAGTAACTTTTGAAAGTAAAAATTAAGTGCTTAATATATTTCTACCATAAAACAATCTCTTTTTTATTATAAGCATAGCATATTTAGTTGAGTCAGACAAAAATCATATTAATTTATTTTGAGTTAATTTTGGTATTATAGAAATGTACACTTGAAACATATAATTTTACTAACCAATGTCACCCCAATAAATTTAATAAAAATCTTAAAAAATCATGTTTATTTAGTGTGCATATGGACATATTAAATTAAAATAAGAACTATGTCTTTTTATGTTGAATTATTATTATTATTTTTTTAAGATTTTTCTTTTTTAATTGGGGAATTGGGGGATGGGAACAGTGCTGGGGAATTGGGGGAAGGGGAACAGACAAGTTGCTGTCCTTTTGTTCTTCAGTCTAGTTGTGGAGGACGTTGCTTCACTGGCCCAAGTTGGCACCATCATTGCGCTCTTCCCGGGTGAGACAGATCAGTCACCAGCTTCTGGATGGCCGCTCACTGCAGCTGCTGGCCGCTCACACTGGCTGCTGGCTACATACGGTAGCGCATGGCAACCCACTGCCACAGGAGCTGCAGCCTATGCGGTCACCAGCGGCTCACAGAAGCCCAGCTCCAGGTTGAGCTGTTGTTCAGCATCTTAGCTGTAGAGGGCAGTCTCACTGGCCCTCATATGTGGGATCCGAACCGGGGCCCTCTTGCGTCCCAAGCCAGCTTTTAACCATCGCGCCACTCGGCCAGCCCGATATGTTGAATTATTTAATAGCATAACCTTGTTGTGTTGGATGATGGAGAAACACTAAAAATGGTTAGAGACAGGCAAGAGGCAATAGTCAAGTTTACACAAGCAGGCTTACAATTAATTCTGAATGCAGTTTTGCAATGACTACCAAATAGAGATAAAGAGAACTATTACAGTAGTCAATGTAAGGAGACAGAAGAAAACTATAAAAAAAGGAAAAACAAGAGATCTCCACCAGAAGACTCAAGAAGTAAAAGGGAAATCAAACCCAAACTAGGAATGCTAAATACCCACGAGAAGCACATTATCTGACCAGGAGAAAATAAAGGAAAGGTTGAAAGGGAAGATTTTCAGTATATTGAAATCTGTACAGAAGAGTCAAAGGATGACAGGTAACTTTGAAGAAGATCCTATGAGTAAGAGCCTGTAAATCTAGAAAGTGAAGTGAAAGCTGCCCTGAGTGTATTGGAAAGAAGTAAATTAGGATTAGATGGGATACCAACAGAATTATTTTAAGTCACAGAGACAGAATCTGTCAAAATCCTAACAAAAATAGATCAACAAATATGGAAAACAAAACAATGACCTACAGACTAGTAATGTTCAGTATACATCCCAATTCAAGAAAAGGGATGCCAAGGAGTGCAGTAACTATAAAACCATTGCACTAATTTCCCACTCAAGTAAAGTGATGCTCAAGGTGATGCAACATAGGCTTTTACCTTATGTGGAGCAAGAAAGGCTGGATGTTCAAGCTGGATTCAGAAAAGAAAGAGGCACTCGAGATCTAACTGTGGATATTTGTTGGATACTGGAGTGCTCCAAATAATTTCAGAAGAAAGTTAGTCTATGTTTTATACACTACAGTAAAACCTTTGACTACAAGGGGAATGAAAAGCTAAAGGTTGCTCAGAAAGAAATGGAGGGGCCTCAGCACTTGATTGTCCTGACATATATCCTGTACTGTGGACAAGAAGCCACTATTGGGGCAGCATATTGAGAGACAGAGTGATTTTCTATTGACAAAGATGTCAGACAAGGGTGCGTTTTTATCTCCCTATTTGTTTAATCTGTACGTAGAATGTATTATATGAAAAACTGGGCTGTACTCAGGGAAAGAAGTGGAAATTGGAAGAAATATCCATAATTTAAGATATGCAGATACCATCTTACCAGACAGAAACTAACAATGATTTGAAACGACTTCTGATGAAAGTGAAAGAAAAAGTGCCAGATTGGGACTGCATTTGAACATCAAGAAGACAAAATCATGACTCCAGAGAAATACACAACTTTCACACAGGCAATGAAGATATTGAAATTGGTCAAGATTTTACTTACCTTGGTTTAGTCATCAATTCAAATGGAGACTGCAGCCAAAAAAACAAGCAAAGGCTGAGACTCAGAAGGGCAGCAATGGAAGAATTAGGCAAGATCATGAAGAGCATCGATGTGTCATTAAAGACCAGGGCTAAGGTCATTCATACCCTTGTATTTCCAGTTACTATATATGGGTGCAAAGGTTGGGCGAAGAAGGCTGATTTGATTGGCAAACAAAATGATTCATCTGAAACATGGTGCTGGAAGAGAGCGCTGCAGGTACCCTGGAGCACCAGAAAGACAAACAAGTGGGCCCTAGAGCAAATTAAGCCTGAAACATCACTGGAGGCAAAAACGACAAAACTGAAGTGTCCTACCTTGGGCACATCATGAGAAGGCAATGCTTCTTTGAAAAAGATAATGATGCTGGGTAAAATAGAAGAGGAGGAAGAGAAGAAGACCAAATAGGAGATGGATTGACCCCATAAAAGAAGCCATAGGCATGAATCTACAGGAGCTGAGCAGGGCTGTTGAGGAGACAGTTCTGTGAGCATCACTCATTCATAGCGTCACATGGAGTCAGAGCTGACCCAGTATAACACACATAACCTGTTTATTCTATTTAACTGATTTACATGCTTATATTTTCCTTAATACCTAAAGAACATTTTAGTGACATATTTCAGAGTAAAATAAAATATGGAAAAACGAGATTGCTTTAATATGTATGTTATGAAGTATATGTTTATGTTGCCTTGATCTTAATTAAGTAGGGCACTAAATTTGGAAAACACTATTTTTAAGTCTATAGCAAGGCATGTTTCTAAAGATGCACATATTGACCTAAATCATATGCGTGATATGCAAGTCAGTTCAAGCATTTGTTGAATACAAGTTGCCTGGCCTTATGCTAAGCACTTTACAAATTTTTCCATTTAGTCATCAAAACCACCATATTTGAAGGCATTAATCATATTTTATCAATAAGAAAACAGAGACTTGGAGAAGTAAATAGCTTTTGGTGAATCCTGGAGCAAAAAATTGGGAGAGATGGGAGTTGGCTCCAAGCCAGTCTTAGTTGCTATAGCCTGATATGCATTTACTCATTCAGTAGAACTATACTGCTTACATTGCATTCATTTAACCATGAGAAAAGCATTTAATGTTGAGGGACAAGACTGCTTTTTCCCTCATTCAAAAGTACAAAGACTTTAAATATGTAGGCTTTCTGTCTGTGTAAATAATGACCTTAAGACACTGCCTATAATAACCACCAGTTTTAGTTGGTGGTAGAATCATGGTGGTAAATCCATATCTTTATTTCTTATTTTATTTTATTTTATTTTATTTTATTTTTCAGAATGATGTAGGAGGACAACGCAGCCTGATAAACAAATGGACAACTTTTCTGAAGGCCAGGTTGATTTGCTCAATTCCTGGAAATGATGGGGCAGATACTCATTTTGATGAGCTTCGTAAGTCACATGTTTCATTTTTCCTAAAAAATTCTTACTTCCTAATTAAGTAATTCAGCACTTATTTTATTTTAGCCTCAACTGCCTGATTATACTGGGGTTGAATTGAATTATGTACCAATGTGTAGTATTACATTTGCTCAAAAGATGGTGTTAATTAAATGAATGCTAGCGTCATTCATTGTATTACAATTTTAATACAGTTTTTTTTCTTCCTTAAAATGTGTATACATTTTTTTGGCATCCTCTGTATATCCCAGTACAGCTTACAGGAGTAGTTCTTACTAAATATGCACACACAAAAAACATGGAGGTGCGGTAGGTCTGGGTCCCATGGATATGAAACAATTCCTCTCTTTGTAAGTGCCCTCCAAGTAAGAGGGAAACAAAACTGCAGCAAAAGACAGAAAGTTACTAGCTCTGGGACTGCAATGTCCATTCATTCTCCATGCAGCCTTTCTCTGGAAGAAGCCACTGTCTGTAGGTAGCAAGACCTTGGGTTCCTTATTCTGTGGATGCCCTCTGCTGGAGAGCAGAGAAGATTTGGTGAATTCAGTCCCCTCTTGCTAATAAAAACAATACTCAGAAGAGCATTAGATAACCTCTTCTCTTTCATTTCCCCTCATCACTCCTCTCAAAGCTGATTCTAGAAGCAATATTTTCAGTTTCATATAAAGTTAGCAGTATCATTCACTTTTATCTTCTTGAACTTGTTTTTGTTGGAAATGTAAATATGGTTATATCATTGATGAATTTGTCAGTATTATATTTTACACTATTAAAGTATATATTCAGTATTGATGGATGATCTCTAATGTTGTGTATAATCATGCTCACATCTTAAATAACCTTTAAAAATATTATTTATGTGTACTTTAGTATCAATACTGCACAATTACATAAGTAATTAACTTGTGTAGCTATTTTCATAATATTACCAAATAGGTAATTGAATTGAATTATTAATATGTGGACACAATTGCAGAACAAACTTTTTTACATTGGCAGATCAAACTAACTTATGTTTTTAGTTTCTATACTATGCGAAATTACATACTCCTTTTTGGAAATAGTCATGGAGATTATCAAGCAAACCATTCCATGTATGGGTGATTGAAGTAAACACCTAAGAGGTTAAATGTCCAACTCAATGTCACATAGCTAGTGAGAAAACCAGTCCTCTACCCTTAATTTCTTATGTAATAATATAATGACTTTCACTGTTATCTTTATTTTATATACTGTTTAGAGTCTCAGAAATATTGTATTACTAAAGAAAAAGCAAGTATGTAAACTTAAACTGAAAAATACAAATGTATTGAATCACTATTTTTCTCCATTAATAGAAGATATTTACTTACTCCCCACAAGAGACGAAAGAAATCCTGTAGTATATGGAGTCTTCACCACAACTAGGTAAGTTTGAAAAATTTGCTTGTAATTCTTCCAGGGAATCTGTGTGTGTGTGTGTGTGTGTGTGTGTGTGTGTGTGTGTGTGTGTGTAAGAAAATGCAGTTATATGTTCTTTGTCCCGTCTGTATGAAAAAATAAATTAAAAATTTTTTTTCATGCAATGTTTCCTAGAAATCTTTTCATATCAATACGTAAAGTTTCTTTGTTCTTTTGACACCAGCAGGTACACATAATACTTCAGTGACTAACCTTGTACATATGGCATTCCCTGTATGAGTAGGTTATCTGTGAGCTATATTCTCAAATGGATTACTGTGTACAAAGACATATGCATTACTAACCATAAAAAATATATTAAGCTATGTGATGTAGAGTTAGCACTAAATAAATGTATGTCTCAGTCTTTGGCCAAGCTGTAATCATGAGATGGGACACTCTTAACTTATAAAATCTCATCATATGCTATCTTGTTTACATTTCCTTATTACCCTACAAAGATAGGTGTTTGGCTATTACTATCACCATATCATCACTGCTTTACTAATAATACAGGCAAAGAAAGTTTGTATACTTGCCATAAAAAGAGGAGCCAACTGGTAGTAAAAATGGGACTAGAATTAAAGGTATTTTCCTGATTTTTATCCCTGTATTCTTGTCTTCATTGTTCATAATACTGTCCTGCAGTTGTCACTGAATCTCTGTGACTTCCTTAAAAGTTTTCCTAGCATCTATGAAAGTTTTTCAAGTCATATATGGACTCTACTTAATTTTATTTAATATTAATTTTATTTCATTAAGTAACTTACATTTGACAATGTTCAAAGTGCATCTTTATTCCTCTTACATATTATTACCTACAGTACATTCTTTGAAATACCTTTTATTTTTTCCAAATCTCTGGTATCAATTTTTATCAGTGTTATATTGATACTCGTATTGGAGGAATTGGCAGTATTGGTATTGGTATTAGAAAAATAGTTTTATTGCCTCTTTTGACTAAATTATTAAAATAATTTTGTAGGCAAATTATAATTCCTTGTTTGTGTCATTATCCTCATTTATGTATACATTATATCTTATGTATAAACTCAAGTGTTGGTTCAGAATATATCAGAAGACAAACTACTGTTGGTTCATTAAAGATATGGAATGTGAATATTTTAATGTGAGAATAGAGAATAAAGAAGATACCCTAAGATACTGCTGTTTGGGGCTCCATTGTTTTTTTTCTTCTAATTTATGTCTGAACTAAAAAGGTACAGGAAGAGCAAGTGCCTGTAGTTACTCAAGTTAAGTATCTCAGGCCTAGTTCTCTTGGCATCTTTCCATTCACAGAGCTGCCTTTGAAGTCACTGTGTGTTCCACGCACAAGGCATAGATTTGTGCCAGGGAGATGTAGCCCCGAGATAGTTCTTTTTTCCTCCTCCCAAGTTTCTGCCCACCCAGAGTGTGAAGTTACAAGTCAGCTCTTTGTTCTTGGTGTGCTTTATTATCTTATTTTTAATGCCGCCCTGGACTGAGGTAATGTCGGGATGCATGTCACAGCCTTTGTCCAATGAGGAGATGTAATTAATCTGCAGTAAGAGCAATGCCATTAAGCCTGATACATCATTCCTTTAAAATATCATACGCAGAGAAGGTGAGTTTTATGGGAACATCACCTCCCATAGCAACTAGTTTTCTCCCAGCTGTCTATTTACTGTCAGCTCCCAGTGTTTCCTATTAATGTCATTCCAAGAATATTAATGATTCAGTTACTCCTGCTACAGAATTCTTAGCTCATTTGTGTACTACTGAGATGATATTTTCTTAGATCATAAAGGGTGGTCTCGGTTTTAAGAACAGGAATCATGGAAAGTTTTAGACTCAGAGAAAATACCTTTTAATTTCTAGAAATAAAACACAAACAGAACATCTGATGACTATGTTAACAGTTTTCATCATTAGTTTGCAAAAATTTGCCAAATTCCCATAGAGCTTTTCTGCCTCTTAATTATATGGGCTCCAATCCTCTGTAATTATGAATGATTTTAAGCATTGGATAAGTTACATACGACTATGTGAACTCAGATTCAAGAAGGAGCAAAAAAGATTCTTTCAAAATGTTTAAATTAACAAGAATTATATGAGGAAATTAATAGCCAGTGTTTATGTATATTCGCTCATGTTAAGAAAACACATGAGAGATTTTCCAGTCAGGATGATGGAGTACATAAACGCTGTGCTTACCTCCTTTCATGACCACATCAAATGTATGACTAAACTACAGAACACCCATCACTGAAGTCTAAATGAACAGAAGTCTTACAACTAATGATATATAGAAGAAGCCACATCAAGACTGTTAGGAGGGGCAGAGATGCAGAACAGGCTTGGTCCCATATCTATATGTGGCGATTAAAAATTGGGAGGGATATCTCAGCTGCTGAGGTGCCCCTGAAGAGCAAGAGGTCCCAGCCCCGCACCACACTCCCCAGCCCGGGGTTCCAGTGCCAGAAAGAGAAGTCCCCAAAACTTCTGGCTGTGAAAACCAGTGGAGATTGTGACTGAGTGAGACAAAGGGCTGCTGGAGTCCCATGCATGGACTACTCACTGACTGACTCATTTGCTCTGAGCTCCAGCTGGGGCAGCAACTCAAAAGCACCAGGGACATATGGAGAAAACCGAATTGTCTGGATTCAGGGCAAGGGGTAGTTTACTTCCCGACAGATGTGCTGGCTGAAAGCATTATTTCTTTGTTGAGTCCTCCCTGTTCCCAGAGTGCAGCCTGAGATGAGCACCATATCTGAGCCTCCATCAACCTAGCTGACACCTTTGCCCCACCCTATTGATTCCATGACAAGGAATCCACCTAACTTTTAGACATGCCCAAGCCACTCTCAATGTATTTTCCATAAAACAGCCTCTGTTGGCTCATGCTTTGAACTTTGCTAAAATCTGTCTAAGGTTCACAAACCCCAAACAAGCAGGATCCAGTCTTGGTGTGCCCCATACCTCTTGCTAATCAACCCCAAGTCCGGCACTAGTGGCAGCTGGCCTCAGTTTGCTGCTTAGCCACAGCCAGGTGCCTCCAAGAACAGCATGGGTGGCTGCCATCTGTGGATTGCTTTGTGGCTTATTCCAGGTGGCCCTAGGCAGGGCACAGGCTGCAGCTGAACTTGGCCTGCAGAGATGCCCCTCCCAGGAGGTTCAGACCAAGCCTGAGCACCACCCAGCTGCCTCCACAGACAACTTACCCAAAGGGCAGTCTGGGCTGTCACCAGAGCCCTGCTAAAGTGAATCCTGTTCCATAGGGTCAGCCCTGCACAACAGCTCCTCCACTCTAGTTACGGACAGTCCTTAAGTTCTTATAGCCAATTGGCCAGAGGTCAATCCCTCCCTTTGATGAGCAAACGTCAATCAAGGCACAACTGCATCAGGAGGGCACATACAACTCATAAAAGGAGCACAACTGGAGCACCCTGCTAAGGTGACCAGGGAGACTGTGCCACTTGGCCCCTCAAGACACCTATTACATAAAAACAAACACAGGGAGGCAGCCAAAAAGGGAGACAAAGAAACACATCCTGAATTAAACAACAAAACAAAACTCCAGAAAAATAACTAAGCAAAATGGAGACAAACAATCTACCAGATGCAGAGTTCAAAACACTGGTTATAAGGATGCTCAGTGATCTCAGTGAGAACTTCAACAAAGAGACAGGAAACATGAAAATGGAGATAGAAAACATAAAAAAAGAACCAGCCAGAAATAAATAGTACAATAACTGAAACGAAGGATACATTAGAGGGGATCAATAGTAGATCAGATAAAGCAGAAAATCGAATCAGTGATTTAGAAGATGAGGTAACAAACAGAAAACACCCAATCAGAACAACAAAAAGAAAAAGAATCCAAAAAAGTTAGGCGAGCTTAAGGAGCCTATGGGATAACATCCAGTTTACCAACATTCACATCACTGTGGTACCAGAAGGAGAGAGAGAGAACAAGGAATTGAAAACTTATTTGAAGAAATAATAATGGAAAACTTCCCTAACGTGGTGAAGGAAATAGACATACAAGCCCAAGAAGAACAGAGAATTCCAAACAAGATGAACCCAAGAGGCCTACACCAAGACACATTATAATTAAAACACCAAAGCTTAAAGATAAAGAGAAATCTTAAAAGCAGGAAGAAAAAAAGCAGTTAGTTACTTAGACGGGAGCTCCCATAAGACTGTCTGCAGATTTCTAAGCAGAAATTTTACAGGCCAGAAGGGATTGGCTCAAAATATTCAAAGTGATGAAAACCCAGGACCTACAACTAAGAATACCCAAAAGCTATTGTTTAGAATCTAAGAACAGATAAAGAGCTTCCCAGACAAGAAAAAGCTAAACGAGTTCATCACCACCAAACTGGTATTACAAGGAATGTTAGAGGGACTTCTTGAAGAAGAAAGAAGAAGGAGAAGGAGAAGGAGAAGGAGAAAAAGGATCACAAATATGAATAATAAAATGGCAAAAACTAGGTAACTATCAACAATTATTTTAAATATAAGTGGATTAAATACTCCAATCAAAAGACATAGGACATAGGGTGGCTGAAAGGATAAGAAAACAAGACTCTTACATATGCTGCCTGCAAGAGACTCACTTCAGATTGAAAGATACACGGAGACTGAAAGTGAAGGGATGGGAAAAGATATTTCATGAAAATGGAAATAAAAACAAAAAGCTGGGGGAGTCATACTTATATCAGACAAAACAGACTTTAAAAGAAAGGCTATACCAAGAGACAAAGAAAGACCCAGTAATCCCACTTCTGGGTATTTACATGAAGAAACCCAAAAAGCTACTTTCAGGGATGTGTGCATCCATATGTTTATTGCAGCATTATTTACAATAACCAATATATGGAGGCAGCCTGGGTGTCTATCAATGGATGGATGGATAAAGAAGAGATGGTACATATATACCATGGAATATTACTCAGCCATAATAAAGAATGAAATCTTGCCATCTGCAACAACATGGATTGACTTAGAGGGTATTATGCTAAGTGGAGTAAGTCAGACAGACAAAGACAAATGACATATGATGTCACTTATATGTGGAATCTAAAGAACACAATCAATGGGCAAATGAAACAGAAATTAACTGATATACACAGAGAACATTTTGACGGTTGCTAGATGGGAGGAGAGTCAGGTGTGGGTGAAAAGGGGAAAGGATTAAGAAGCACAAATTGGAAGTTACAAAGTAGGGATGTAGGTTATAGCATGAGGAATATAGTCAATAATATTGTAATAACTATGCAATACTAGATGGGTACTAGATTTATCAGGGTGATCATCTCATAAGTTATATAACTGCCTAATCACTATATTATACACCTGAAACTATTATAATATTGTATGACAACTGTAATTAAAAATAAAAAAATATTAAAAGAAACACACATGAATTAATTATGATTACATATCTAAATTATTCTTTTTCTTAAAAAAGTAGGTAAGATACCTTTTTATTTTGCAAGTTCTTTAGAAGGCATTATGCTATAATAACCTCAAACAAAATTCTAGAGCATGTTGATAGATATAATACTCTTTGCATATTTCTTTCTATCATCCAATTTTTGAGTAATTCCTTTTTACCCATCAAGTGTCAATTTAGATGCCACCTACTCCCTGAAAACTCACCAGAGAACCCAGTGTTGGGCACCCATATGTGTGCTACTTCACTTATTGTAATTACTTGTAATGTAATTAACTTTTACCATACTTTATTCAGGGTTACTTGTCTATAAGCTCCTTGAGAACACTCACTTTTGTCTGCAGCACTTTTATAGTTGTCCTCAATAAATGCCAGTGAATGAACCAGTGAATGATTAAATCATGGTGCTTTCTTTCAGCTCCATCTTCAAAGGCTCTGCTGTTTGTGTGTATAGCATGGCTGACATCAGAGCAGTTTTTAATGGCCCATATGCTCATAAGGAAAGTGCAGACCATCGCTGGGTGCAGTATGATGGAAGAATTCCTTATCCCCGACCTGGCACAGTATGTATCCAACTTAATCAAATGATTTTCTCCAGCCTATATTCTTTTCCTAAATCTATTATAACAAGCTATGCTACTCACCACAGCAACATGTACTGTGGTTTTTAAAATAATGATTATTTGTTAACAGTGATGTATTAGCATTTTCACCCTTCAATGGAATGTAACATTTTTCTTTTGAGTAAGAATTTTAAGTACTACTGGAAACAGTGGACTCTATCTAAGGTGAACACTATGCTGAAAATACAGTGCTTATCCTCAAAAAGTCTATAGAATCATCAGAATGATTTAGTATCTAGAATGATAAATGTTTTAATTAGATGGAAATGCCAAAGTATTGTATTTATTTATTATTAAGTATTTATTCCCCACTTACAGCACTATATGTAACTAGAGTCCCCACTTCTACTTTAAAAAGACATCAGTTATAAAGTTTCATTTAAATTATCTTCTTTCTTGTTATGCATTTCTCTTTTCTTTGTTATGTTGTACCTTGGAGTAATATGCATATTTTTGATGGGGAAAAGATCTAGAGAATCCTGGGTCCAAAATTTCATTCAAATAGTAGAAATCGTGTTTATAGCACAGATGAAACAAGTAAAACATATTTTCTAGAGTTTATTCATCTGTTTTAAAAAAACTTTGCAGTTTAAAATTCACATGTGCATTATAAATAGCTTTTGTTACGTTGATGTGATTAAAACACTTTTAAGTTATTTAAATATTTTAGGATTGGTTATTGAACCAATATTACATTGAACAAATTGCATATTATGTTGAACTAATACAGGAAAAAAGGCCTTTTTTTAAAATTTATGATTCATTATGAATGTTTCTACCAAGAGGCCTAAAATAATCATTAAAATCTCTGAGAAAAATTGTTGAATTAACCCAAATTCTACTGAGTTTTGTCTTTGTATATGTTTGGTCTTAAAGGGGATACAGCTGGTAGGCAGGCTTTCTGAATTTTCTTTTCATCTTCCTGTTATATAATCTGATTAGGTTTAGAAAACATACTTTACAGCCAGCCTATTTCTACTTCATTATCCCTCAATATAAATATGTTTCAGGACTGATATGAAGGTAATCACAACTTTTGTGGAATTTTTTTTTCCAAATAATATTATGATTTCAGGATTCGCTTTTTTATTTTCTTTGAATGTCAAAGCTGTGCTTGGTGGTTTTATTTTTATATTTTAACTATAACATACGGTGTAGGTATTGTTAGGGTGTGCACGTACTCTTCTAGAGGTTTTACAAATCTTAATTTTCATATGACTATATGAAGCAAGTGCTATTATTATTAATGCCAGTTTAAATGTGAGGAATCTCAAGCATCAATAGGTGACGTAGCCTGCCCAGGTCACAAAGCTAGTGAGTGGTGCAGTTGAGTTGTAAACCCAGACACTGAGACGGCAGAGTCCAAGCTCTTATCCTTGTCCTATGACACTATATTACAACTTTTAATGCTGAATTATATTTATTTTCCCCTTCCATGGAAGATCTTTCACCAAGTATATATCAGACAGACAGACAGACAGACAGACACACACACACACACACACACACACACACACACACACGTTATATAATGAATATATCATATATTTTGGGGGAGGGGTTGAGGAGAATGGTTAAAATTCACAGATAACTCTCGCTGGGGAAGGATGCTGGGGTTAAGTATCATAGACTATCACATTTTGAGCTGTTTCTACATAAATTTGTTTTTAAAAGTAAACACTGTGACCATTCAGGCTATTTTAAAAAAAGTATTTCAATTACCCGGATGTTGCAGAAGAAAGCATTTGAAACAAACCATCCACATTAATTGCAGAAAATTACTTGCATACATATACACAGCAGCTGATTCTTATACTACTAAGAAATTTGAACTAATTTTCAAAACGGTCGCATGCTGAGACATCCAGATTACATTCCTTTCCACTTATAGTGTAGGTTAGAGGTCTTATAGAGGAGGTGGTTGTCACCACTCCCCTGCTCCTGTCTGAATGAGCTGTGAATGCCACATGAGGCTTAATGACTATTCACATGTAACGGACTCTTCTCATACGTACACAGCCACTTCTATTAAATGTGGCTAGGTGATCTTCCCTTCCCAAATGGGAAAACATACATGTCAGTGAGGAGGGTTTTTCATCAATGAGGAAAGAAAAACTGGTCTATGGTAAACAGACCAGTTTTTGCTGCCGAAACACAATTTACATGGTAGATATGTTTTCTAAGAGTTCAAAATTATCTAGGAAATAGGCTGTATCCACACCACCAAAGACATACTTAACTTTTTAGAAAACAATTAACAATTTAGAAAAGGAAAAGTATTATCACTCATAAAGAAGTGCCACTTAACAGATTTATGCTTTATCTTTTCTAAACATCTGTTTCTCATTGAATTCCTATGCTTTTTAAAAATATGTAAACACATGTGCATCTAAAACTGAGCTTTGAGAAACAATATTTTATTCATAGCCCATTCTCAGGCCGCTGTTGGTAATGGAGACAGAAAGATAAAGTTTCCCTCAGGAAGACTCCAGTAGAACAGTCTTTGATCAGGTAGATTATGTCCTTTTTATAGAATTTGGATTTTTTTAAAAAACCTTATTTACTGTCAGAGATTATATATATTGCTTTATAGTTTTGGTTAATTCTTTTTTGTTGTTCTAAACTAAACTCGGGTTATGTTATGCTGGGTTTTGATGGGATGTAACCATATAAGCCAGTCTAAAGAATTTATTTATGTGAAACAAAAAATACTGAGGTATTTTAAAACTGCTTTTTATTGGCCAAAATTTTCTAATAGGTTCTGTGTAAGAATAATGATGACCTGTCCTCCTGGAAGATTTGTAGGCAGTATCTAGACAGCTATAGTATCTAAAGGATATTAATTAGTTCCAAGTAACTAGTTATTTGTATATTCTCTTTGAAATCACTATGACCAAATTTGAAAATGCCTAAAATCATAAATGAATGTGTAACCTTTTTGCTTCATTACTTTATTTTTTAATGTTTATTTTTTATTTGCACACAATTTAATTAGATTTTCCACATCATATTTTATATTTGGATGGCTGGTATTGAAGTTAGGAACATCGTATATTTGATGTGAAAATCAGTTACACAAATGTGCTTTTTATAAACTAACTTTACCATTTTAAATAATTCTGTATTCATAAAATCATTGAAATTGTATTGCCCAGTGTATCAAGTAACTACACTTGTAAAATTTAAGAATCTAAACGCGCATGGATGATAAAGGCCTCATAATTCACTCTCAGTTTACAGGAGGAAACTGATGCCCAGAATAATTGAATAACTTTCCAAATGTTATATTGCCAAACACAGCAGAATGAAGAGGAATGCTGGTGTTTTCTGACCTGTCTTCTCTCCTTTATTTTTAAATATTCTCTAATATTCGCCTGTTCCCTAAAATTACCTGACTGATATACTGCCAAATACCCTAAAATTAACTGCATTTATTTTTACATAATCTCCTACATTCTCTCTTAAGTGTTTTTTTTTAAGTATCCTAATTTCAGTAACTTTTGTTTAAGTGAAGCTATGAGTCTTCTTACTCGTGTTTTCTACAAATGTCCAGTTCAGAAATTTTAGTCAGAAACCATTATTGAATATGCCTCATGATCCAGACACAGTGAGAAGGACGTACACGTGTATATTATGTCAATACGTCCTTTCAACAATATAATAATGAAGATACTTTATGGACATGAAACAGCCTACTGAGGGTCTGCTTGTGTTCCTGGTATCATAGCTTGTCAAGTGGTGAGACTGGGATTCAGTTTAGGCCTCCTGAACTATAAATCAAGTGCTGTTAACCTCTGTGCCTTTCTCCCTTCAAAGAGATAAAAGCGAACAACCCAGCTGAACCTGACATGGTTTCCTCAGGGATTGATCTGTTCTCTGCACAAATGATAACAAAGTTTTGAACCCTCATTGCACTTATCATTCCTTTTTATTGCAATTTTGGGGAACACATGTACTTTAATAAAAGCATTGCTGAATAACTTGCTTTTTATGAAATGTCAGAATCTTCACTGAAAGCCAATTTACACTTAGGTTACAAATTTTAAGTGAATTATTTGAAACACCACCTTTGCGTTTACATTTTCTGCATTCATACTGCTATTAAGGTTGAGTTCTAGGTTGTTCTTCCAGGAGTGCCTTCTGTTAACATTACCGGTCAGGAAATAAACACTTCAGTGCACCATAGCTACTTTAATTCTTTAGTTTTGACATAATTATGTATTTCCTGTGAGCAGTCAAACCTAAACTGCTAGCCTTACAATGATATTACCACCCTGCAATGTTAATAAGCTTGGAAACTCCAGGACGCACAAGGATAGGTTTCCGGAATTCCTTTACTTCAAGGGATTCTCCTGCCCTCTGCTGTCCAAATAGCATGTCTGAACAAACTACATTTTGTTCAGCCAGACTTTCAAATCATAGTGAACTGAGAGTCTTGGTAATAAGAAGTTCCAAGTGAAATGAAATATAGAAGAAGCCACCATACATTCAGTGGTACAAGTCAGATATGGAAACCAAACTGAGGTCAGGCCAAAAATGACAGGCTGCTAGAAAAAAATCTGGGGAAGGTGTTTAAAGGCAGAAGATTTTATTTTTGATATTTTGTTATAAAAGATTTACTCTATAATTTCATTCTGTTGATAAATAATTTTTAGGATGTGTGCATAAATGCAAAATGTTGTTCACTTAAAAATGAGTTTCAGTTTTTCACCCGTTCTCTTATCAAAAAAATGAGAAGAAATACTTTAAAAAAAGTTTTGTTGTGGTAACATTTAACACGAAATCTACCATCTTTACAGATTTTTAACTGCACAATACAGTATTGTCATCTGTGGGCAGAATGTTGTACACTAGATTTCTAGAACTTGTTGATCTTGTGTAACTGAAATTTTATACCCACTGATTAGTAACTTTCTATTTTCCACTCCTCACAGACTCTG